TGAGTCATCAGCGGAGCTATTGAACGAACCAGGGGATCAAGACCAAGATTCCATGTACTTGCACGATCCGCAGAGGCTCAGCACATCCCGTACGCCTACGCCGCAGCCTCAGAGGGCAGCTGACATCCCTCGTTCAACCCGTACTTCACGACACCCCCCTCGAGAGTCTAACTGGACGGAGCTTGACTCTACCCGCGTACCAGGCCCACCGATACGCTCGCCTTCGCTGCCGCCTTCACCGATGCGCATATCCGATCCTGAAGTCCATCGGGCCCAGTCTTTCTTCATGCCGACGTCTCTCGCTGCGTCGGCATTTCCGACGAGATGGGTGTCTTCGCTGCTGTCACGCTCCGTGATGTCTGTGCAACCTCCGCCAGCACCTCCGAGTAACATCGATGGGCTGCCAACGCAAACTCGGGCGGCGACGGCCCCCGATATCACACATGGGACGCCTTTTGCGCCGCACCCGTACATACCGCCAAGCGGGGCCCCAGGCTTCGCGGGTGACCGTGCGTGGGACAAGGGCTTCGAATTCGACAAGGAGAACGTCGAGCGTGCGAGCGTGAAGCTCGCGGGCCGCAAAGAGGGCACGCACAGCATCCTGACTGTTGCTCTTGCAGACAAGGTGAGCATGCGCCTCTTCCCCACGTCTCGGGCGGTCCTGCTCATGTCTTTGGGGACAGTTGCGGCCGCACCTGCCAGCGCTTAAACGGTTACCACGGTCATGGACAATGATGTACAGCCTCGACCAGCACGGCATCTCGCTGAACACACTGTACACGCGCTGCGAGGCGCACGCAGGGGGTGCACTGCTCGTCTTGCGAGACGCGAACGACGCCGTGTTTGGCGCGTGGATGGGCGAGGGCATCCGCATGTCTAAGGGCGCATACTACGGAAGCGGCGAGTCGTACGTGACATCCTGCTTGTCTTGTCTGAGGTTAGTGCGCTGAACGGACGCAGGTTCCTGTGGAAGCTCCTGCCCGAAGACAGGCTGCGGGTGTACAAGTGGACGGGCAGGAACGACTACGTCGCGCTCTGTGAGCCAGAGTACATCTCGTTCGGCGGCGGGTGAGGTCCTACTTGTCTCCCTGTTCGTGTGGTTTCTTACAAAGCGCTTGGTTAGCGACGGGCACTACGGCTTGTACCTCGACGCGACGCTGTCGGACGGCTCGTCGGCGCGCTGCCCAACATTTGACAACGAGCCGCTGTGCTCGGCAGGGCCGAGACAGGGCGAGGGTGTGACATTTGAGTGTGTCGGGTTGGAGGTATGGGGTATCGGAGGTTGACGTTGAGGCTTAAAGCTCGGCGTGCGGACTCTGAACAATCTAATTGTATACTTGCATATGTAAAGCATCAACACATTCACCTCTCCAGCCCGTTCTGTCGGGTGCAGGGAACTCGTATTTGTATAAGGTTTGCCTAGAGACTAGATCTGCATGACGAAACATTCGTCACCCAAAAATAAACTGCGAATGTACCTGTGTCTCGGCGCGATACCCGTTGCGAGTAAGCTCGCGCTTCGAGTGCCTGACAAGTACATACACAGCGATCTACAATCTCCCGGCTCAGAGCAGCCGACACCTGTCTCGTGCAATATAAGTTGCAAAGGATTACGACAATCCTAGTGAAATTACAATATGTATAACATAGCATGCGTCGTATAGTTCTATCTCCTCCAGCCTAGCAGCGACGCGCTGTCCCGTACGCAGTGTCCACCGTCACGAACGACCCCATCCAACTGGTCTCCGCGTGCTGTCATCCTCGACGTGGCTGCGTGTGTCCCGCAGGAGAGCTTTTACGTGCGTGCCGAGGAGCTGTCGCAGCGCGGGTATATGGTATAGTAATGCGCGGGACGACACGATTTAATCGCGGGGGCCGTGGCGGATGAACTTGGGGTCGAGTTCAGTGCCGTCGTCGACACTGGCGGATGCTGGCGGGTCCGCGACGAAGACGTTGTCGCCCTTGATGTTAAGGAATGTGTACTATAAGTTGGTGTGAGATAGGTCGTGCAATGCGAACAGTGTAGAACGGGGAATAGGGTCGAGTGTAACATACCTCTGCTAGTTCTGCCCCGCTCGCCCTGTTGTAATTGACATAGACTAGGTTAGGCTCCATCATAACTGGCCGCAGACCAGCCGCTTCCAGCAGTTCCCACCAGCTCAGGAAGTCTGGAAACCTCTTGCCCCAGACGTGAAGCTCTATATGTAGCTGGCCGAAGGGTAACAGCTTGCCACTGTCCACGTAAGGTTGCACCATAGCCCTGAGCGTGTCAAATTCATAGCCTTCGATATCAACCTTGAGGATGTCAATGAATGTGTGGCCATTCTGCTTCATAACAGTTTCGAGCGTGTGCAAGTTGTTCTCGTCGCTGCGGTCTTCTGGGCCAAGCTGAACTTGCGTTTGGAAATGTGTGCGGTGCTTCTTGGTGAAGGACGCGTGAGAGACTTGACGACCAAAGTCCTTCCGGGAGTGGTCATAGCCCCATATCGTGCAGCCTTCGGTGTTATCCAGCACGGCGGCTTCCCAAGCAGAGTCCCAGTCCATCCCTGAGTGCGTGTCAGCGCTCCGATATAGAGAAAGCGCGTAATAGACGCACCGAAGGAGTAGATGAC